GAGCCAAGGAGGGCAGGCGGCGGGCGGGTGGCCGGGCAGCCCGCCTCGCCGTCCGCTTTGCGCCGCCGGCCCACGCCGCAGTGTGTTTTGTGGACGGCGCCTTCCCAGTCAGCCCGGTAGAGCCCAGCTCAGCGCCCGGCAGCCTTCGACGCGATGTTCCGCCAGAGCTTGAACCGTTTTGTAAGTACACTCGCTGCGCCTCCGCGCGTGCCGGTTTGCTTGCCCGCCAGCCCCTCTGCCGGGTCCCTCACAACAATTTTCGGAGGGGGTAATTGCATCGCTGGGAGACACCACCGCCAGCCCCGTTTTTCATTTTAACTGGAACACATTGCCGGGTAGGCAGGTAGGGCTCTTGGGGTATCCCACCCCCGCCCCCAGGACAATTTCACCCGGGCTTCCAGGGGCCGTTAAGGAACTCAGTCTCAGCCTGGGGGCTGCCCTTGGGCTTATTGGTGAGGGACTCGAGAGGGGACCGACCCGGGGGCCCCTCAGTTTGCCAATTAGTCGAAGATGGCGTTTTATTATCAGGGAGGTTGCTTTCTTTTGTTTCCTCTGCCACGAGCACATGGAGGTAAACCTAGACCTGTCACTGTGGCCCAAAAGAAGAGCTGGGGACGGTGGGAGCCCGAGGATAGGGCAGGACTCAGCCTTACCTAGGGTTCGACCCGGCGGGCGGCTGCTGACCGGAGGCCGGGCAAACTTTGGAGACCCAGCCTACGAAGCTCTTTTACGGTGTTAGAAAAGCCAGGGCGATGTAAGGGTGGGCTGGGTGGATGTGGAGACGAGAGGCGACTGCACCGCCGCTGCCGGTGCTGCCGATCGCGGGTCTGAAGCCTCGCGGAGGACTGAACGCCCAGACATTGAACCCATGAGAGAGGCAGGCTGCTACTGGGCTCCTCCGTCCACGTTTACCCCCTTCCAAGTCCCCGGGAAAGGGAATTTCATTTTCGTGAGAGTTTGACATCGGAAAAAAGCGATTTCAGGCTACTGACTTTTTGGAGTAACCTGTTTACTCCTAGCGTATACATTAAGAATGGAGCAAAATAGGGCCATCTACTTCTATGCTGCTATTTGCAGCAACTTCCTTAATTGCAAGAAGAGGTGGCGGGAATAAGATTTTCTTTCTGCCAGTGATGTGAAAGAAAGGGTTCATCTGCAAATTTTGATTTTTCTGTGGTTAAGAAAAAGGATTGCGTGCTGAGTGCTTTCTTCTATCCCCTTTAAGATACGATTTGAGAACTTGTCGGTTTGGTTCTATTCATGTAATTATTCATAACCAAAGCATTGCTAACATATTTTTCACACGTCGGATAGATTTGCTTTCATTTTTTTCCCTGCATTTAAAACTTTCGCAAATGTACCCTGGCTAAAAGTAATACCTGTGCATCCCTTTTTAGGAGATTATTATCACAATAGTGCTGTTAATGTGTTTCTAAATATTTAGCTCACCCAGAGACATGTAATATGAAATTGGAGCAGATTATTTTATCTGTGGCTTAGAGTAATAGAGGTGGTACATATCAAGGCTCTTGAAATCCGTAATAAATGGCTTTGCTGGTAGCTTTGCTAAAGCAAGGGACTAAAATTGGTTTCTCACATTCAACCTGAGAGCACTGTACTTCATAGTTCTATTTCACATAGATTCTTGTGATCTTGGAGTGTTGCTTTGGGGTGACAAAAGGAGAAGGTGACAAGGAGAGCTAATTGTATTAAGGAAAGGATACTCTTTTTAACATGGTGCTCTTATGGTGCAAAACAACAGGGCTCTGAATCATAATAAATCCATTAGTTTAAAATTGAGATATTGACGTATCTCCCTCATTTTTCTAAGGACTTGAACATTTAAAACCGAACAACTCATGTATTGGTCTAAAAGCCCCATTTCCTTCCCTTTTGCTAAGAGTGATCTGCATTGTGTCAGTCTAGTAATAGGCAGTGCTGGCCCGGGGAGCCAGGGCATGCAGTAGAATTTGCAGCAGTTGTTGAGGTGCCAGCCTGCAGGTTTGAGGCTAGCACTTTGCATCCCCAACCAAGATCTCAGGAGAGAATCACTTTTACTCATACTGAAATGAGCTTTGACCTCATTGTTTCAGCTGGAATGTTCAAATGTTCACATTTTCCTTTGCAACTATGACTATGGTAAGTCCTGGGAATTTGTACCAGTGCAGTAAGCTGGAAGCTTCTTAGGAGTCGTATCTGAGCCCTAGGCCTAGGGCAAGGAGTTAGTCTGCAAACCATTGGACTTAATGCGAAAATTACTAACAAATACTCATATTGCTAAAAATGACTTCAAAAATTTAGAGGGGGGGCAAATTCTAGATCTCTTAGCTCAGTAAGCCATATGCTACCCTTGTCTTTTGCCTGGCAAAAATTCTTTGAGGAACATTCCCATTTAAATCACTAGAAGGCTAAAACTGAAGATTTGGGTGGGACTTTGAGATGTGCACAGTAATGTAGATGTAGTCCAAGTTGTGTGCTGTCTTAAGATTGTTTTAATATTTCAGAGCTAGAACTATGAATTCCTGTCAAAATCAGTTGTATTTTTTTGGTGTACTTGTATGTGTCTGAAATTGGCTTTGATTGTGAAATATACTATAGTGGTGCTGATTGTAGTTGTTGGTCATTGAAAACTAGAGACTATATTTTAGAGAAGGACTTTCTTTGTATTTTAAACCCAATGTGGGAAGTAAGAATCTCTTAGGATTCGTCATCTATAGTTCAGTTGTATTTGCTGAATCATTTAAAAAATGCCATTTATTTTCCAAGGTTCTCCAATTTCAAGCTAAAAGAAGTAGTGATTCATTGTATTTTTTAAAGACATGTCCTTGATGTTTTTGCCATTAATAATTGTGTTCCTTTCTTTCTGATGCATTATGACTTTCCTTTTGACAGTTTTGGGGTAGAAAGAAATTGACGGATTTGGTGTATAGCATTTTGGGGTTTAGGCATGTAGAGGGTGTCTTAAAAGATTTAAGAGTAGGATGTCTCTGAGTGCAATAAAAGCACTGCCTGTTCTCAGTCAACATCTCCATAAATTCAATAAATAAATAATAGTAGCATTGTCTGTACAATTTATTTCCTTCAAAAGCATATGTAATTGGGAAGCCTGGACTAGTTGAGACTTAAGGGCCATGGACTTCTGTTATCCTATCTTGTTTTATTCTTAGTAAAATTCCTAGTGATTATAGTAACATATTTTTGTGAATTTAAAGATTTGTTGCGAGTCTAAACACCAAATTCTCCCTCTTTTTGGCTTATTTAGTTATTTCATACTAAAGATTTAAAATAAGGGATTCCTTGATAAAGTAGATTAGAAGACTTGGCCAAGTGAATGCTGCCAATTTAGCTAGTCAGAGAGCGATACTTAACAGGTATGAATTTCTTTTTTTTTTCTTTTTTTTAAATAGGAGTCTCACTCTTGCCCAGGCTAGGGTACAGTGGCATACTCACAGCCACCGCAGCCTCGACTTACTGGGCTCAGGCGATCTTTCCACCTCAGCCTTACAAGTAGCTGGAACTACAGGTGCGTGCCACCACGGTCAGCTAATTTTTGGATTTATTGTAGAGATGGAGTCTTGCCAAGTTTCCTGGGCTGGTCCTCTCACCTGGGCTCAGGCAGTCCTCTCACCTCCGCCTCCCAAAGTGCTGGGATTACAGGTGTGATTATAGGCGTGAGCCACTGCATCTGGTCAGGTATGAATTTCTAGATCATTGATACGTGAAAGTTTAATTGTGAGTATGAAATATTGGAGTAAATTCATATCTTTGATTCTAGACTCTCCCAAACTGTTTTGGTTCCATAAAACATGAAGCATATAATCATAATATCACACAGAAAATGCCCAAGACTAGAAATAAATTAAACTACATGAGGAAGATTGAAAATTTAAAATAAGAGTAATGTGAAATAAGAATGAACTAGATTGCTAATTTATTGCTTTGAGTTCAAGGCAAGGCCAGTCTAATGAAGCAATATGTGGAGGCAATTAACAAAATAAATCAGGTAATTGCTTTTTTTTTCCAGGAGCAAGGTTTTTTGTTTCTTCCTTAAATTATCAGGGTAATTTAACATTTTTTGTTCTGTGTTATTTACTAATAACCCTGGCCTGACATTGCTGGAAATAACAGGAGCATGGAAAATACTGCTTTTATTTTATTATGCTTGGAAATATATCTGTGTGTGTGTTGCAGTATTTTTGCATTTATGCAAGTGTTACAAATGATCTGTGTATCATAGCTCCTACCAGATAGTTCATAGTGGTCTAGGTTTAATAGTTGAACTTGACCCTACCTAAAAGCACCCTTTATATAATATTGTATTATAATTGCCTTTTAACTTGTGTGGCTCCCTAATCCAGTCTTTCCCAACCTGGAGAGAATTAGCATTGATACCCTAGGGCATGCATTTTATGTAATAAATTAACTTTTCTCCTATGCAACTGAAGATGAGGAACCCTAACTGATGAAGGCTGTCCTAGACAGGCATAGTTCACAGTGTGTTCTTGGCTCCTAGCACAGTGCCTGGTACCTAGTAGATGTTCAGTAAAATATTTGTTGTAAGAACAACTTTTATATGTTTCACATAAATAATAACCTTTACTTACAGACAGTGATTTATAGTAAATCCCTCCTTATCTAGAATAATTGAAGAATGAGGAGTTCTTGTTAATTGGGGTATACCATATACTGATTACCAGTTTTCTAAGAATTGGAATAAATATATCTAATGCTGAAGCTGATAGTATAATCTTTCTTAGATGATTAAGACATTTTATGGTTTTGCAGAATAAAATTTCATTCAACAAATATTCTCTGAGCACCTACTATGTGCTAGGCACTGTAGTAGATTCTGGGGACATATGAGTGAGCAAGACAGACAAGGTTCCTCTCTTTATGAGTTTTAATTATATGCACAGCTGTTGATATATAGGGTGTGGTAACTGTACTGTATCTAAAACATTTGTGACATACTCTGAAAGTTAATCTTTATGAATAACTTTCTTGTCATTTGTCTTTCTACCAAAAATAGATTGCACAGTATCAATTATTTTCTGGTTGTTTGGATGTTAGATAAAAAGGAGTTTGTTGCATTTGACTCCTTCCATATGACCTATACGTGGCAAACTGCCCTTTGGCAAGTAGATGCTGGACTGACCCTGTGCAAGGTGGGAAACTTATTT